TTTTTGCTTGGTTCGTTGGTTCCACAACAATTTCTAGTAAACACCCTTTGTCTGCCTCAAAGTCTGCATCTAATTGTGCCCACTTTAGTTGCATCCACCTAGTCATCTAGTGCCCCTGCAAGGGTGGGCGACTTATAGAGTCACATAAGACTCATACACAGAAGGGCCCTGTATTTGACTTAATGCTCTGCTGTTGCCTTGTTAAAATTCTTAATAACTTTATCTCTGAAATTGTGTTTTGTAAGTGAAGTCTGATGGGACGATGGAGCATAAACATGAGCAAAAGAGATAAGCACATCATTCTTTGCAGCCCTATTTGCATATAGCAATCACGATGCCCAATGAGCACAGAATTCCAATGGATTCACAATGCATGACAGTTTAGAAGGATCCAACTCGAGCACACGGTAAGAGTTTTAGCTCTATATGCGAGCAGAGACGCTGACAGCCCCAAGAAATTAGGCTTTCCATTCAATCCAGAAATTGCTTCAAATGCAGAAAGAAAGCAATAGTGTTGTCATAGCCTTTTCTACTTATGTCACTTCCCTGTATTAGCCAACCACTCAGGCTGAAAATGATGACATAGGAAGAAAGAGTCAGGGTAAACTACAGTTCCTTTTTCTTTTTTTACTCAACAGAAAGCCAAGCATGATAGAAAGTGTGTACATAAAGTATGCATATAAAGAAGTGAAATAAAAACAGCTGAGTTTGTTTTATCAGCATTTCCACTGTTTTAATAAGAATAATATATAAGCTACAAAATGTGAAATGTGTAATTTATATGACTCCATATACAAGTTACGTGCTCTTGTATATCCATTTAAAAGTGGCATTGCACAGTATAAAGAAGAACATTAAACTGCATGCCAATAATTTAAATTTTTAATGTTCTTATATTGACATTAAATAGCAAATAAAAACACCACGTCAAGTCAAGGGAGAGAGACAGCATGAGAGAAAGAAAAAAGCTTTACCTTTTAAGAACTTTAATGACATTTCTCCCCTGCCTTTTGAACAAGGAGCCCCACAATTCCAGTCTGCACTGGGCCCCCAAATTATGTAACTGGCCCTGGTCCCATGGCTTTAAGTCATATCCATAAGCACTGATAAAACTGGTTTCCACCCAAGGCCTTTTCCCAGTGTGACTTCTCTAGACCCTGTTCTGGGCTTCAGTTGGGACCAATGGAGATTATTTTCCTCTTTGGTACAATAAACTAAAAAAAAAAAAAAATATCTCCCAAACATAGCTCTAAATCAGCAGTTCTTAACCTGTGGGTCGCGACCCCTTTAGAGGTCGAACGACCCTTTCACAGGGGTCGCCTAAGACCATCGGAAAACACATATATAATTACATATTGTTTTTGTGATTAATCACTATGCTTTAATTATGTTCAATTTGTAACAATGAAATTGGGGGTCACCACAACATGAGGAACTGTATTAAAGGGTCGCGGCATTAGGAAGGTTGAGAACCACTGTGATGGGAAAATGGAGGTAAAATGACACGGTAAGGGCTTACCCAAAGTCACAGTGTATGCCATGGACAGAGGCCTAAGCTGACTCCCATCTTGTCTTTAGATCCAATGCCGTGGCCTGTCTGCACCAATCACCACTGGTATTTCAGTCTCAAACATCATTTGAAAATACCAACAAAGTCATTATGTGCTGCAACCTTTTGATCACACCCCAGCTGAGGCCACCACAGCCCCACAGGAACAGATGTAGAGCAAAAGGCTCTGCCCTTCAAGAGGTTCTGCACAGAACATTCCAAGGCCCCGGGGGGAGTCCTGTTTTGTTGAAGGTCAAGCGGAGTTGATCAACAAGGCCAAGACATGCTTCCCTTTGTAGCCTTGGGTAAAGACTGGATTTCCTATATCGCCCCCAGGCAAAGTGAGGAAGTCCTTTTCTAACCCATTGTATCAAAGACATTTAGAATTCTTAAAGGAAACAAGATGCTTTCTCATCTCTTTCCTTGAATTTTCTTTAGAGAAGAGAATAACCCAAGTTCCTGGCATCTTGTGCCCATTGGCCAGAATCCCTACTAATTCAGGAAGAAACGCCAATCCAGAAGGAAACTA